TCCAGGAGAAAATCATCTCCAGCTCTTTGACGGGATGGATTCAATGTTCGGGCAAAACAATTTAACACTCGCGAAAAAGAGGGAGAGAGTGTGGTCGACATTGGAATGGTTGCCCATATGGTCGGATATGGTCCATATCCTTTTTTAATATTTGCTTCGAAGAAGCTATTTACATAGAACCGACATGAGCCAATTGATACTTTTATTTAAACGCAGATCCTTTTTTAACTTGTTTATACAAATCGCATTTATTTGATATTTTTATTTCAACTCTGAATGCGCACAGCACAGTAGATATGCATATATACACATGCACGGAATAACACGCTGAAACATATACCTTACATCGCTTGTCATGTTGTACACATCTCCGTCTCTGTTCTGTGTGCATTGCTGCGTATAACGGATTTTAAGTTAAAACAAAGCTATCAGATAAATGCGATTTGTATAAATAAATTTAAAAAAAACAATTTCTGTTTAAATTTATGTGTAGTCGTCAAATAACGAACTGTTGGCTTTGCAATGTTTTAGCAGCATTTGGAACAGATATCATCTATCGAAAATACAATTCAGCTTACTGGTTCGCTATTTTCGTTTAAACACAATAATTGATAACAATTCGGCCAATCGACCGAACCAGAAACGAATTATGGTGTGCAATGAACACGACAATTGTTATTGTGCATGCTGCGAATCAGTTTAGTTATTGAAATTGATTGCCCAAGTACACAATGGATCCATTAGAAATAGAAAAAAACCACTGTCCAAAAAGAAAAGAGACGACAAAGCGATCACGTATGTTTTTGGTTGTATTTTTAATACAAAAATATGTTTCATTTTAGGAAACGCTCCATGCATTTTTTTAGCCTAAATCGAAAGAACAAAAATCCAGTGCAAATGTTAAATCGACTGAACGTCAAGTTTCCCAACCATCTGATTGTTCTGAAACGGAAGACGTAGGAGAAGAGAAAACTGATGTGTCGTTTGACAAAGAGTTCAAAGAATGTAATTCTTGTTGAAATTCGCTTATTTATTGGCGATATGCTGTCATTATGCTTGATTTTTCTTAATTCGCACTGTGTATAATCAAGTTTAGTTTTTTCTCTAATGCTCAAGACAAGTGCTGTTTTTTGCTCAGGATAAATTTTCGAAATTTTCCCAATGTTAGCAAAAGGATTTTTGGTCGGTATGGCTCGCTAGGCCGCACCAAATTAGGCCATTTGCCATCATTTATCCGGATCCATAGCCCCCATAGGTAGAGAGAAGAAGAACTCTGAAGAAGAGTTCCAATTTTTCCTACCTATGGGGGCTATGGATCCGGATAAATGATGGCAAATGGCCTAATTTGGTGCGGCCTAGTGAGCCACACCGACCAAAAATCATTTCGACCCCATTGGGAAAATTTCGAAAATTTATCCGCGGATAAATCTTCCACATACGAGAGTCAATTTTTCTTACCTATGGAGACTATCGACCCGGATAAATGGTGGCAAATGGCCTAATTTGGTGTGGCCTAGCGAGCCATACCGACCAAAAATCCTTTTGCTAACATTGGGAAAATTTCGAAAATTTATCCTGAGCAAAAAACAGCACTTGTCTTGAGCATAAGCCATATGATTATAATAGTCTAAGAGAAAAGTTCATTCGACCGGCAGATACATATTTAGATATAAAATTCACTCGCGGATTAGTACAACATGATCCTGTGAGCTTCTTTGTCGTGTATCACACGGCAGATGATGCTCGAACGGTTATTTTAGAAATTCCAAAGATTCTACACAATGGCAAATTTTTAATTGCGTCCAAATACAATCCGTGTCATGTTAAGAAACAACCGAGATATGAGAGAAACAACAACAACAGCAGCAACCAGTCTCCGCATTAGCCGTGGCTCGGGTGCTCCAAGCACCAAGACTGCGTACGCTAGGACTGTTAGGTTGTGGTGCACCACTACAAATAGGTTTGTTTACACGAGCAGCGGCCGTCACTGTTGGCCAGCAGATTGGTGCCATTCCACAAAACCCTGGTCAGGGACAAACCGGGCTGCAGCAACAAAATTCCAATTTGGGCGCTGGCCCACAACCCGCCAGAAATATTCGACAACAGCTGCGGCAGGTGCTACAGCAGTAACTTGTGGTGGTGCAGCAGCCGCAGGGCCCAAGAGTCCGTGTGTTAGCCGCGACGTTGGCAAGACTGCTTGGTGGTGTAGTATTTGCGAGTGCAGCAGCCACAAGCCGCACAACAACAAGCAAACGTTATCCGAAGACAATCAAATTGACTGGCAATCAAACTTTTGGGAAGGATAGAAATATGATCGACTCAGCGATAGTCAAGAAATATATACATATGTTATATATAACATTCAAACAGGTTCTGAACAATAAAACTGTTTATAGATGGCGCCAAAAAAGCTTCAAACTTTTTAAGCTTTTTTAGTGCCATCTATGAGCAGAACAAATTCAAAATGGCGGAAAATTAGATGGCATGATGAATTTCAAAATGTGACGTTTTTTTTAACAAAACGTCAACGAAACAAAAAATTTCGCTTTGCAATTTTGAACGCAAACACATTTTGACATTTTCGTTTTCGATACATGATCAATTATTATTATTATTATTATTTATTAAAAGTAAAATGGATAAAGGTTTTTTTACAATATGTACATTTTTTTACAGTGGTTCATTTGACCAATCCATATGAAAACTATTTTAGGACCAAACATTTGATGCATAAGGCATATATTTTAGTATGTGTTAGTGAAGAGTTAATTATTGGTAAAATAAATTATTTTTTTATTGTAAACCTACTAATTGGAAGAAGAGAGACGCGTAAACAGGATCACATAACAAATCTCTCTAAGGCAATTAATTTTAATTTTTTTTAATTGAAATTAGGTCTTCTTGTATTTTTTGCTGTAATATTTCTAAGTTTGTTTCAAAATATATTAAGACCGCATCGTCCGCAAATAAGATTAACACACCATTGAGTTTGATATTGAAAATGCCATTTATATATATAAGAAATAAGAGTGGTCCGAGATTGCTGCCTTGAGGTAAAGCAAAAGGGTTCTCATTATCAATTCTCTCACTGTATTCATCGCCGAGGTCGACAAATTGTTGTCTCCTATTTAAGTAATTTTTTAGAAGATTGTTCATATTTCCTCTGATGCCATAATTCTCAAGTTTTTCTAACAATTTGGTGTGAGGAATAGTGTCAAAGGCTTTGCGCAAATCAATAAAAACACAGCAGGCTGCGTTATTCGGTGTTGCATCAAGTTTTGTTTGTAATAAATCGATTAACGTTGAAGCGGCTGACAAAGTGCCGGAGTTTTTTTGGAAGCCAAACTGATTGGTATGGATAATATCGAATCGGAGGAGAAAAGAATAAATGCGATCATAAATGATCGATTCGAAAATTTTCGCTAATGATGGCAAGAGGCTTATTGGGCGGTAGTTTGTGGGGAGGAGCGGGTCTCCCTCTTTGTGTATGGGAACGATGCGTGAGCATTTAAGAGAGTCAGGGAAATTGCCAAGAGCGAAGCAGTTGTTGATAAGGCGGCAGAGAATGGGAGCAAGAGCATACATGTGATACATCAATCTCACTCCATAAACAAAAAATCTGATACACTGTTCATTTGTATGTAAACGTAAAACTTGCTTTTATCATCATATTCATGCGTATATTTAAATTGTCCAAGAAATCATAAATATACGGTGTATATCCACTTAGAAGAGTGTGAGGCAATTGGAAATTCGAGAGTGTGTGGTGGATATACACCTACTTAAAACTTGTAATGATTGCGACGTTGGCTGATGAATTTACGCCGTTTCAAGACGCTTCGGAATGGTTTGCACCAACATTGACTAAATGTGCAAATCAATTTTGCTGTGAATGAGGCACATATTACCAAATTGTATATGAATTATACAAATTTTTTGCTAAAAGCATGAACCTGGCCAAAGTCCCAATCAACAAATCTATAGGTGAGATTGAAAAAGGTGTAGGTTTTTTCTTCGATTTATATTTTTTGAAAAGGCGAGTATGTTTTCTAACGATTCTGTTGGCGTTAAATCAGAGTATATTTACATGCCTTGGGTTGTCGTGGAACTGATGAGAGAAATTTTTCAAGACTTCATTTGTAATAATGAATAAATTGTAAAAAAATAAAAAAAAATACTTAAAGTTTAAGTCTTGAACATAGAAAAAGATACACAAAAACATCAAGCCAATCAGGTTTTTGAATGTACTCAGAAACGGTGTTTTTAAATGTTATTTTCAAATCGATATGAACCTTACTTGGTTCACATTACTGACCAATCGCAATATTTTGACGTTTCACATATGTCACAATTAACTATTAAACACTTGTGTTTTTATTGTGGTTCAGCTCCATTGTTTTCCATATTTTTGAAAAGCATTTTTTTTTAGATATTTTGAATTCAAAGATATGAGCGGCGGTGGAAACAGGAGAGACACAAATCTAACTGCAACAGCAGCAGTAGCAACGATAGCCGCTGGTGTTGCAGCTGGATATGCACTTTATAGAGGAGTCGAATGGTTGTTAGGTTCAAATGAATCACAGGAGAATCAACCACATCAAAATCATCCGCATCAACAAAACCAACCAAATCCATACAGAGAACAGTTGCGACTGCCCATGATCAGACGTCCTCAACCAATTACGCCTCATCGATTTTTGCGAAACCAAGTTATTCATGTGGTTAACACAGTCGAACAGTGTCAATATTCAATGAAAGAACTGAAGACGTATGCTGGAAATAACTTGATAATTTTTGAATTTTTTCCTCGTTTTTTTTTGGAATTACATAAATAATAATTTGGTTTAAATTTAAAAATTGGAATTTATTCAGGCATTGCGACGAATATAATGTGCTTGGCTTCGATTGTGAATGGAATTCAGAGCAGGAAAGCGGTCGTCAGTTGCCCTACTTCAATTGGCAAGTTCTCGTGGTCTGTGTATTGTCATTCGTTTATCGGAATTGCAACACATTCCAAAGGAACTAGAGGTGGGTAGAAAACAACTTTTGATTGAATTTTATATTCTACTTGACAAAATTTATGAATTTTGAATTGGAAGCTACAAATTTTGAATGATTCAATTTAAATTCGGAATTATTTTGAATAAACAATTTGAAATTCAATTCCTACAAACAAATTAAATGATTCCTTCTCTTTCTGCAGGCAATTCTAGAAGATGGTAGCATTATCGAATATATGGGAACAGAATTTAACCTGCTTTGATGTTTTTGTTGCGGCACACCGAGTCCAATCTAATTTAAGGCCCCATGGACTGATTTGTGTTTGAATACTTGAACTCGTCCTATCTATAAATTAGCTTTTGTGTACTTGATTTTCATGAATGAATAAATAAAAAAAACGCTGTATTTTGCAGTGATGTATCAGGTTTTATTGCAATTACTAGGTTATCATTCGAAAACATTCATTGATGATCCATCAACAGTGGTTACATTTTTAATTCAAACAGAATTTTCCATCAACGAGCAATCAACTATCAAATATTTTGGGTGCTGTTTGTGAGTGCGGAGTGAACATATCCAACTAAAATCCATTTACATGATAACAGTTTTTCTAAACTTTGAAATCGGGTTATAGTCAACGTGCAATCGCAAACTCGAAAACAGGACAATTTCGTGATTGTGTTAGACGTAAATGTTGTCACACCTATTGTGTGCTGTATATGCTTTGTGTTAGTGTGAATGCATGTTGCGTTGGCAGCACTGCCTCTCACACTCTCTGTCTCTCTTAATGTGTCAAGTTAGGAACGACTGTGTGTCATTCCATTTGTGTTCATATCGCCAAGTACACGCATTTTTTCCATTTCATACATTTATTATCGGAGATTTTGATTTTCGGCACACGGTTTCACGTTTTTCGGGTGTAAAAACAAATATAATTTGGCAAAAAAAGAAATAATAGTGCTGTGTTTCGAATAACCATTGAAATTTATGCTGTGAGGTTTTTTTTGACAAAAAGTGATTGAAAAGAACCCAATACGAAGTTGCAGCCATTTTCTGAGTATAACAACGAACCGCTTCATAACAAACATCAAAACCCTTTTTTCGTGTGCCTTTTTCGTTAAAAAAAAAGAATTGTTGCTGAAAGTGTTTGTTTTTGCAATAAAAGATACATTCTTTTGACATACACTGATGACATTGTGTGAAATTGCGTCGCAATCATTGCCGTGCATCATCTTTTGATCATTCCATTTCGTGCATTCATTTATGTGAGTTTTTTTATACTGAAAAAAAATTAAATCTGTTGTGAGATTGGAATGTGTGTGTGTTTGTTAACGTTTTTAATTTTTCATTATTAATTAAAATTTCGTCTAGCATCCATTTTCGATGCATGAAATTTCAATTTTGTTCGTTGAATAGCATCTCGTTGTCGTTCATTTCGAATTCCATGTGCGCCGTAGCTTCATTTTTTTCAATTTTTTTTTTCTGAGTGTGAGAGAGAGAGTGAATGTTCATCAAAAAGTGTGTTTTTTTTCTACCGTTCCTTCTTATTCGGTGTGCTCGTCAACGGAGCTGAGTGCGTGAGTGAGTGAAAGAGAGACAGTTAATGCGCATCAACACGTATTTTTTTTCGTTATTCTTTTTCTTCCGGTTATTCGGTGTGTGCGACGGCTCTTCTTAACTCTCCTCAGCTCGGCTCTTGTTTGGTTTTCTCTTTGAAACCGACATCCGTATACAATGCATGTTTTTGAAGTGATTTGATTTTTTTTTAAATTGGTTCTATTTCCAACGGTGTTTTTGCAACAGCAACGTTCACAACATTGAACAATAGAAACAGGAAAAAACATGCAAATTGTGAAACAACATCACAATCACCGACTGACGTTTGTATTTTTTTTTCTTGTGTCTTGTTGCTATGGTTTACACGCGTTCAGGGTGATTTACTAACGGTGAAATCTGTGTCATTTACGCTGTTCATTTCGAATAGCATTTTAGCTGTACTTCATTTTTCTCCATTTTTTTTTCGAGTAGAGTGAGTAAGTGAGAGAGTGAGTGTGTGAGAGAGTGAGAGTGTATCCATATTTTCCCTTTGCATTATTGCTGCTGTTTTCGGCTTCGACAATAAGTTGATTTATGTTTTGGAATTTTGATTTTCGAGTGCAAAACAATTATAATTTGGAAAAAAAGAAATAATAGTGAAAATAACAATTAAAATTTATACCGCCGGTTTTTTTTAATGAAAAGAGCCTAATCTTTTGTGGTAATTTTTTTTTTAATTTTCTCTTTTTTCTGAATAATTCAGAATAAAGTGAACCAAGTGAGAAGCCATGGCTGACACACGCGAAGGAGCTGGTGCCGACGGAGGAGCGATTGAAAGTAAGTTAATGAATATGTTTTTTTTTGCAAAAAAAGGAGAGGGAGAGGGAGAGAAAGAGAGAGCGCGCAGGAGAGATAGACATGGAGAAAGAAAGAAAGGAAAAAAGCACCGAATATAGAACAATGATCTACTTTTGGCATCAGCTGGTGATTAAATAAATTTCAAGATGATTTTCTCCCTCTTTCTTTTTTCTGTCACCTGAAAATTAGGGGTCAAACAAAAATCAGAGCCAACCAAAGTGCACACATACACACTCACACACACACTTACAAAATACTTGTGTCGTTGCTTTAATTCTAATGGCAAATTCGATTGCTTATCAGTGATTCATTCGTAATACTTTTAATTGTTCATGGATTACCGTCGAATGTAAATGAAATTCATTTGTGAAATGGTCCTGGTGTTGTTTTTGTTGTTATTTCCTTCGCTTCTTCTTCTTGCATTCCCAAGCGCGACTCCACACTTAGCTTCTAAATGTGACACCGTAGTAAGTGTGGGCATACGTTTTGCGAATAAGCGACAAAGAGAATGGAAACAAGTGTGCGTTTATTAGTCGCTACATTGAGAAGCATCGCATCAGGCTGCTCACTACCACACGCGCACTTGTTTCCATTCTCTTTGTCATTTATTCGTAAAACGTATGCCCACACTTACTACGGTGTCACATTTAGAAGCTAAGTTGCGCTTGGGTTGCGTTTGAAACTAAATTTTCTCGACTCGTGTCTGCAGCTCGATTTCATATTCGCTCATCTTCAAATTGTGAGCATTGTTTTTTTTTTGTTGAATCGCTTGAGTGTGAACATATGAATGCGATCGTGTTTATTTCGCGGTTTTTTTATTCTTCGTTGCTCACTGCTATTGTTGCTGTCTTGCTACCTGTTTTTGCTCTCTCTCTATTTTTTTTTTTCATTTATGTGCCAGCATGGCGAGTGTAGTAAGCAAACATCAAATAGTTTGCTTTTTTTTGTGTTTAGTTCCACGTGTAACAACGTCTTTTGAATGCAATATATATAGATATCCAATTTGGTTTCATTAAAATACATTTTATTTTGTCGAGATGCCAAAAAAAACATGTAAAAAAAAAACAAATTGTAATTCATCATTTTCTCCAGTGAATTCTGGCTCGAATATAAAATACCCATCTGAGATTCCTCAACGCCATCCGAGCCAAATCAGAGAGGAACTACAAAATGCCACCATTTCCATCCATTTTGACGAACGACAGGTGTTGCAGGCAAACCGCAAAACCTTAGCTCTCGGATTACAGAGCGAGACATTGGGCAATATTGGCAAAATCCCGCCATTGAATCTATTCGTAAAAGGTCGGTGCGCTTTCGCCACGTATGCCAATATGAAACATTCGGAAGAAATGAAGCGCGAACTTCTCCGAATTGGTTATTTACGAACATATCGCATTCGGTGCGTCCGCATATATGACCCAATGCTATCAAGGGAAATGCGGGCAAAATTCCGGCCAGTATCGCCGCCACCACCGGAAACACGAACGCAAGGAACACAGTTCCCAGAAGTGGCGGTAAAAAGTAGGTTTCCTTTTTATGCGATTTATTTTTGTTTTTGTTTTTTATTATGCTCAAGACAAGTGCTGTTTTTTTGCTCAGGATAAATTTTCGAAATTTTCCCAATGGGAGCAAAAGAATTTTTGGTCGGTATGGCTCGCTAGGCCACACCAAATTAGGCCATTCGCCACCATTTATCCGGGTCGATAGTCCCCATAGGTAGGAAAAATTGACTCTCGTATGTGGAAGATTTATCCGTGGATAAATTTATCCGCGCATTAATGCTCAAGACAAGTGCTGTTTTTTTGCTCAGGATAAATTTTCGAAATTTTCCCAATGGGAGCAGAAGGATTTTTGGTCGGTATGGCTCGCTAGGCCGCACCAAATTAGGCCATTTGCCACCATTTATCCGGGTCGATAGTCCCCATAGGTAGGAAAAATTGACTCTCGTATGTGGAAGATTTATCCGCGGATAAATTTTCGAAATTTTCCCAATGGGGCCGAAATGATTTTTGGTCGGTG